AGCTGGATCACCGTCCCCGTAAAATTTGTTAATGTGGGACTCTCTGGGCAGGACCACAATATGGGTCTGCTTTTCGTCCAGAGTAGACATTTTATTCCTTTAGTAAAAAAAAAAGAGTTCTTTCTTACCGTGTGTGTATGAAAAAATTTTCCTCGTTCCTCAATTTTCACTGTTCCTGAATGTCCGAATTCACACACACACTAAACACAGTTATGAACTAGGTTGACTATGGGTGCCTCAAGCGGCAAGTCTCGTTGAATTCATCCTGGTCGCAGCGCCAAATGTAACGAGTCCCCGAGTCTATCCTGCCGACAACGCCAAATGTAACGAGTCTCTGGCTACCCTGCCGACAACGCCAAATGTGACCTTCCCGAGTCTAACCACTCATTCCACACAACATTGACCACAGCATAGATACTCGAAGATGCAGGTTCATTATTGATCCTTTTATTACATGAATCAAAGAATGCTTCACAATAATATAATGAATCAAGAGAGATGTTTCACAATAATAGTCTTAATCAACTGACCCCCAACAGTCCTCACTAGGCTTCATATAACTGAATACACATGTCTATCGTCCTTCTTAACACAATACGGCTAACCCGTTCAATAACCAACTTGATACTGCCACACTGACTGACTGATCGAGAGCGGGCGAGAGAGAGCGAGAACCAGCGAGCTCAGCCGTCGCCTTCCCATATATATCCCCTTCATAATCGTACTCATATTCGGTCCTATCATAATCGTAATCGTAATCGTTGCATTACGCCGCTTCTGTTGTACAGTCCGATTTAATAAGCCATCTGCATCCTGTCACATCAAAGTTGACAGACCGTTCTTATCGTATCGCTTCCCGAGATACTACGCCTTGGCTTTCTGATCGTTATCAGCCACCACCTGTGTTATTACATCAGTCGTGTCAAAGTTGACAGCGCTGTACCGCTTTCTTATGTCTGGTAACTTCCCCTAGTTACATATATATATATATATATATATATATATATATATATATATATATATATATATATATATATATATATATATATATATATATATATATATATATATATATGGGTTCATCCATTTATGGTGTCCACAAAAGTTTTGAAATTTTTACCCCCCCCCCCTCCAAACAAGCTGCAAAAACACTGATTCATTAACATGTAATGTGTATATTGCTATATTATAAACTGATAATGTTATATAGGGATTTGATATTTTCGGTAACATCTATTACTAGGCCTAAATAATAATTTTTTTATTTTAGATTTTAATATATGGGAGTTCCAACTTTTCCAAGATGTCCGTAAGTCTACGGCGTGTACATTTACTGTGGTTGTGTGAATGTGCTAAGACCAGGGGCGTAGCGAGGGGAGGGGGCGGGGGTGCGGACCGCACCGGATGACACAATTTAGGGGGTGACACCAAGGAAAAAAAATTAACAGCAAAATATATACAGAAAAATGAAAATGGTAATTCCACTTTGAAAAGTGGTTAATTAGTGTGTTAAATAGTTTTTAAAGAGCACATTTGATAAATCCCAACAAAGGGTGGAAGGGTGGGGTGACACCATGACGTAAACCTGCTAATGATAGAGAAAACATGCTACATCAAGCTGTATTTATAGACTATAGAAAAAATCTTTAGTATTATATCTTAGCACAGTTTAAAGCAATCGCCGTGGGGTGAGTGGGGGGAGTTACATTAACTCAACGTTACAAAATATGCCTGAAGTAAACATTCATATGAGTAAATACATACTTATATTAATTCAAATTTGGCAAGCAATAGAACACGGGGGCCGGTACGGTTGGCTACAAAGTCCACGAAGAAAGGGTCAAAACTGACCTCGACTGACCGGCAGTAGCGTAGCGAGGGGGGGGGGGGGCGGGGGGGGGGGGGGGACATATGTCCCCGGGCGCCGACTTTAGGGGGCGCCAAAATGGGTTGGAAAAATAAATTGAAAGGTTGAGGGGGGTGCAAATTGAAAGTTTGAGGGGGGGGGGGTGTGCAAATCGAAATCTCGAGGGGGGGGGGTGCAAATCGAAAGTTTGAGGGGGGGGGGTGTGCAAATCGAAATCTCGAGGGGGGGGGGGTTGCAAATCGAAAAGTTTGTCCCCGGGCACCGGGAAGGGTCGCTACGCCTCTGCTGACCTGCGCCTTATATGAACTTTTTTCGACCCCCTTGATATTTTGTGAGGTCTTAGGCCGACCCTGGAGGTTAACAAAAAAAACATTATTCCCCATCGGATAAACCCCTTAGGGTTATTAGATTTGTCCAGATACTTTATTGTCTTATATAAACAATAGTTTGTGAAAAAGTATACAAATACTACGTCACTAGGCATGCTGCCCAGCTTCGCTTAGGCTTTCGAAAACATTGAGAATTTGAATGCTTAATTAATTCGCCCGAAGGTCGGTCTACGACCTCAAGAGTTATGAAGAGGTTCCTCCGTGGACATTTTTTTTCGATTTATAGCTCATATAAGGTACCGGTCAGTCGAGGTCAGTTTTGACCCCCACATCGTAGACTTTTCGGCCAACCGGCCCCCGTGTTCTGTCGCACCAAGGCAAGATCATGCCAAATTTGAAGCGCCTGCGGCGCCGGGAAGTGCCCTATCGGACACCCGACAATCTAGATCTAGATTCCTAAAAGAATTTTTTTTTTAAGTTTAGCCCGAGCATAATAAAAAAGAATACATTAACCAAGTTGACTTGCTGTGTCTCGAACCCACACCACCTGCGTGGTTTAATGTACACTAACATCTCCGCTATTTAGAATGAAACACGTATTTTAAAATCTTAACTTACGCGAATATGCCTATTCTTTCAAATTAATTTTTTATCCCAAATTAGCCAGTTCATAACAAAGATTTTGTATAAAATAAATAAGTCTTGAAATAGTTTAGTCCTAATATAGAAATTTATTTTTGGAATTGATTTTAGAGAAGTTAAGAGTCTAAATCTAGATCTTAGCGTCTACGTCTAGATCTAGTTAAAGTAGATTTAGATTTAGATTTAGTCTAGATCTAGAATCTCTAGATCTAGAATCCAAATACATAAAATAAATTTTATGAGTTTAGGCCGGAAAAATTGTATTGTATACATTTCATAGTGTACGTAGATCTAAATCAAATTTGAATGAAATAGTTCATTTCTTTTCATTCAACACAGCAGATGACGTCATTAGTTAATGTATAAGCAATAGCGACGTCACAGTTTTATGCGTTCTTTTTCACATGTATTAATGCTTTTCCGGTTGCATAAATAATACTGTTTCTCTACATTCGAATACGCCTTTAATTTTTATTTTTCTTCTTTAAGTAAAATTGTGGTTATACATTTAAAACATCTAACATATTATTTTCAACAAAAGTCCGTAAAAAGTTCTCCATATATCGCTGCCGATTCTGACGTGATGTCCGGCGAAAATTTTTTGCGGACAGAGAAAGAGAGAGAGAGAGAGAGAGATGTGCGCACATTGGGCTTTTATATATTAGGATTTGGTATGTGTACAGGGGAGGTAACTTTTTAAGTAATAATTTTTAAATAATATTTTTACTATTTTAAAGAAAAAACAAACATCACCAAATATAGCATTCGTTTAAATAAATATTTCGTTATAGATTAAATTATGTATTGTAGTAAAATTGTAAAAGTTAACTTCGAAAGTAAATTTAATATCATATTTGATTTATACTTTGAAGGAAGCCTTTGCAGTTCTAATAACCTAGCGAGTAATAAGTTTGCGAATACTCCACCTTTGGCAGCATGACTTAAAACTACTCTGTTTAAGCATAGGCCCTCAATCACCAATTACTTAATTATTGAATTTCTCAAAAGTTTTTTTGAAAACTTAAGCGAAGCAAGGCAGTATGCCTAATGTGTATATATATATATATATATATATATATATATATATATATATATATATATATATATATATATATATATATATATATAATTTTTTGTACGGGGGGTGACACCATTAAGTGCCGCACCGGGTGACACCCAACCTCGCTACGCCACTGGCTAAGACTATCTAAAAATAAATTGTTCTTAATTGAAAGAATGATGATCGCGCATGTCTCTCGATTTTAAATCTTTGTTATCCACTATTTTTCATAAAGAGTCAGAGATTGCAGGCAGTCATAAAATATTTTTTTTTTCTATTGAAGATGCTGTAGACCAAACTTTTTAATGCTATTTTGTAGCGACTAGATCTATATAGGTTAAGCAGTGCCGGCGCCAAGTTATTTAGCACCCTAGGCGAAACGTATTACCACCCCCCCCCCCCCAGAGGCGTGGCTAGGGTGGGGCGGCCGCGACAGTCGCCGACCCAATGCCATGGGGGCGCCAAATTACATAGTGAATTATATAGCCTATGTCGAAATAAAGAATGGTAACTGCTACTTGGCATTACGGACTGAAATCGATCGCAACGCCATTGAATATTATCCTCTATAGTTTATCTAATATAATCAGTTATTAATTATTAGGTACCCTTTTATAATGTCGATTACACATTTAGCGCCCTAGGGGGGGGGGGGGCCTAGGCGACCGCCTAGTTCGCCTTATAGGTAGCGCCGGCCCTGAGGTTAAGGTAAATCAATATGACTTCATTATATTACTTTTACTCAACTTTACGTGATACGTGTTTCCATAACAAACCACTTCTCCCCCTATTATTGTGAATTCGCTCTACACACCTGAACTCTGAACAAGCGAGCACATTTTTTTATACACCCGCTGATTTTTAAATTAAAAAAAAAATATTTAAAGACATGTTTTCATCAGAGAAGTTACAGCATTCTTAAATAAGATCTATTTAAAATATTTAGAGTTTATTTATTACTCACGGACATGGCAGATGAAATAAGCCAATATTTTTTTATTTTATAGCTCATTTTATTTAGGTAACAGCGCCTTGAACTTTACGCGATCGAAACACTGTGTTTTTGTTTTTCTTGACAACCATTTTCATTGGGCAGTAAAATTTATGTCAACCAATCACTAATCTGAGAATACGGACATGTAGCAAGAATGAGGTGTCGGTTGATATAAAAACAATAGATCTAGGGGTCTAGATCTAGATCTAGATTCTACTACTGAATGATAATGATTCTATATATATAGACCTAAGGTTAATCGATCTCAACGTATGTTTTATTATCCTGTTTAATATAATATAGGCCTTGGAGTTGTAGATCTTCTTAGCTAAAACTCGGGTATGTTTTTGTTTAGTTTATACTTTTTTATAGTTTTATTTTTAGTATATTTTTACTCATTTATTAGATCTAGAAATCTAGAATGTAGAGAGACTACTGTGTAAAGTCATGTGTGGGCCTGTCATGAATCTCAGAAAATGTGCACATATGAATATTGGGATGATTATAGATACCAGTGTCCAATAATGGAATCTTCTTTAAAAAAGGGGTGTTGGGTTGTTAGTAGTATTGTAATCTCGACTAATTTTATGGTTAGAAATTAGGGTTAGACGTATGGTTGGACCAGGGTTGGGGTTAGGGTTAGGCCTTAGGGACACTGGTTAATTAATACTAGCAATAGCATTGACATTGGTCATTAGCCAGCCATGTGTGTATTATTTAGTTAAGTACCAGTAACCTAACACCCCTTTTTTAAAGAAGATTCCATTATCAGACACCGGTGTAAACATTCTCCCGAATATTGAATATTGGGTAATCTATCGTTTTAGGTTCGTAAAATCGACCGAGGCTAGATCTAGAAGGCCTAATCATAATAAATTAATAGGCCTAAGGCCCTACGAAGTAATAAGGCGCCTAAGGCCTAATGTGGAAGAAAAATAGGCTAACTCATTCCATTTAATTTAAATTAATTTTGGAACTTTTCACATTGCTGGGGCACTACAACAGTTACAGTCAGTAGTAGATCTAGTAGGAGGATTATTGTTTTTAAACAATTTTACTAAAACTTTTCAGTAGGCCTATTAAATAAATATTACCGATGTTTTCATCAGATGCAACCAAGCTTGTTTACTTTAACAGCCATCTTGAGTTGTATTTTTTTTGTTAAATTATAGTTCTAGATCTAGGCCTAAGTACTAAGTAGCAAATCTTGCTCTCAAACACTCACACTCACACTGCATTTTAAAGTTGATTTCTGGCCTATAGCTTATAGAATAGATATATTGATAATTGTGTTGATATAATTAATATATTTAGGACTAGACATTGCTTTTGGTTTATTATTCAAGTAGGCCTAGCCTACTTGTATTAAAGCCATATTGATGAGTCACCTTTCTTTCATGTTACTAGCCAATTTTACATACCTAAAACGATAGATTACCAAATATTTTTATATTGTCAATAATAATTTTAGATTTAGAGCATTACCTAATTAAAGGCCGCATTTGCGTGGTTCGCTCCACGTTACGCTTAAGGAGGCACCTGCGCAGTTCCCTCTTCGTTGCGCTAAATCTTTACCCTAGGTGGCACACGATCCAAAAAAATGGATATCAGGACTGCCCGACTTTTTTTCCCGTTTTAGCAATTTAATGTTGACCTAGATCTAGTTTAAGTGTATTTTCAACACCTAAGAATCTAGTCTAGTACTTGTAAAAAAAAACAGTACAGTGTCAGTAGTGGGTCAGATGATAGTCCTAGATCTCGCAGCCATCTAGCTAAATCAAACTGCCCTTTAGTAAATAGTTTTTACAGCTATCTAGCATGCGTGATAGTAGATCTAAGTCTATATTATTAATCCTATGTGAACTTAAAAAACTTTCAATTTGCTTGAGTGGGAGGGGGGGGGGGAAGAGAGAAGTGAAGACATAGACAATCTCGTGAACTTGTGTTCATTCTATGACGTATGCTTTAGGCCTGCTGAACTCACAGTGACCCCGCCGACTGTGGGCCGTGGTGGGATGTTTTACTCACATGATAGTAAACGTAAGCAAGCAATCACACCAGTGACGATGTTTGGAAATTTTATTTAAAAAAAAAGAATAACATGTCATGTTTTCAATATGAAAAAAAAACAAAAATGTAAAAAAGAAACCAGCATCGGTCGTGCAAACACCGGGTTCGAACTCGGTGCTCCTGGTCTATGAACTACTGTCTACAGCTGGCACACTGTTGACTCAACCACACCGGATGTGTTGGAAAAGGAAAAAGTAAGCATTTTCAATCACAAGATGGCAAATCAAACCTGCGAGACGCGTAGTCACTTCGCTAATTATGACCAAGTTGATGAGATTGAGAATCCTTCCTATCATATTAAATTAGTTATTGAAACACTGTTTATCATATTAAATTAGTTATTGAAACATTGTTGAGATGAATAGAAAATAAAAATAATGTTTTTAGATTTTGCAATCAAGGCGAATGTAAAAGAAAAAAGAAAAAACAACTCTTAAGGCCTAAGCATGAAAATGTTTCAGAAATTTAATATTTAGAAGCAAAATGATTCAGAAATGTAACAATTTTAGAATCAATGTTATAGTTTATGGTGTTATAGTTATAGAATTTACACATCCAGAGCACTTAAAAATCATTTTTTAAAAAGTTAATTTAAGGCTACATTTCTATTTATTTATTAGTAACAACTTATTTCATAAGTAATAACCTGAAGTTTCACTTTCATAAGACAAACATTTGTTGGCTCCACAGGAACTCAATCATTGATATTCTGAAAACCCCACTTCATTAAGAGCTCATAGTTATTTGTACTTAAAAATTTGCCGATTTAATCGGAAAATAATAAAAAAGGCTTATTATTTTCTATTAGTCAGTACAGAGATGAATGTAACAAATTTTGCTATCCTATAGATAAATACTCAATACATATTTGCTTTTACCAATATTTGCCTATTTTGCTGTACTGTAATAGTTAAAGTGCGATGGTTAAATTAGATTTCAGAGTAAGATTATGATATTTGCAATAATCAGCCTTAATGTTTTAGTGGCTAAATCATTATGAAAACCACAAAAAAAATTGTGTTTAATGCGTTTAGGTTAAATCTATACTATTCTATTGTAGGTAATTATTCACAATGATAGACAGAATTCTGGCAATTACCTTGATCGTATACCCTGTTTTTATTACTTTATAGGATCAAAACCTGTAACTTAACTGTATTATCCTAACAGTGGTATTTATAAAAGCTTATTGAATATCTAAACAAATCTGAGTATTCAATAAACTGCATCATGGAATGGATATTTTTTTAGGTCTAAATAAACTTTACTGTGCCATCGCAATTGTCTGTATTATTAAATAGTTTTTATTGAATTTTGAAAATGGAACTTGCATCAGATCACACTTTTAAATGCATGTATTGATATGTGAAAAATGTACATTATGGAGCATGCTGGTGTGGAGTTTAGTCTACTCTGTATTGTGTATGTGTGTGAAGGTGCAATAGTATAAAGCGGTCTGTTTGGTGTAAGATAAATTATTGTGTGTGGATCCTAGGGTAAGTTGGTTCCAGTTGCTTGCATTTGGGGTGGAGTGGTGTGGTTAGAATAATGGAGTGTACTGGTGTTGCGTTTTGTTCCGAGTGTTGTTGATGTGTCATGAGAGTTGGATGTGGAGTAGTGTGGTTGGGATGCGTTTTTTTTTTAAATTCCTTCTTTTATTTTCCTGATTCCTTAATTCTTTTAATATCTGATTTTGTGAAACTAACATTTATTTCACAAAAATTTTAAAAGAACAGTAATGTTTACTGCCATATTTTCCTATCCTCCAAATCTGAGTTAAGAGGGTAGTTTGTAGTAGGTGAAAATTAATTTAGTCGTTTTTTATGTTCTATTTGTCTAATATGATAAATTACATAGTTGGATAAAAGTTCGTAATAACAAGCTCTTAAGAATGATGCACAATAGAAAATAATGAGAAACAGTTATAGGACAAATTGGAGTAAGACAAGTGTATTTGGTTGACTTGATAATGAAACTACAGAAAACAAACTGGAGTCCAACAAACTCAACAACAGTGACTGGGATATTGCTGATGTGCTTTGCTTTCTAGCCCATGTTCAACGACATATGCACATCAAATATTACTGGTTAAGAAGGAGAAAAAGCTGTTTAAATTACATATCAAGACTTTCATATTAGAATATGCAACAATAAATACTTTTACTTTCTAAACTAATGTGGAATTCATATACATTGTCAAAAACATAATATTGGGATTAACTAAAATTTGAAAGTCTGTTTTACTGTATGGTAGCTAGTTGCACACAATTTTTTAAAATAATTAAAATGACAAAATAATGACAGGGTTGTATTAAGAGAACTAAATGTTGCAAAATGATACCAAATTTATGTTTATAGGATAAATGGTTCTCTAGATATGACGGTTTTAGTGTAAAAATTGCAGGGACAACTAAGCCTATGGAAAATGAAAACAAAAATAAACCGGGAGTGATCTCCCCTAAACTTTCTCGAATATTCTTATATAAAACAACAGGGGATGGGAACTCGGGATATAGTTATGATTTTTAATCCATTTTGAATACTTAAACTTTTTAAAATAGAATAGAATCTCATAGAAAAAATAATTGTACACCAAGCAAACGCCGAATAAAGATGTGTATAATAGTGCGGAATATTATTAGTACTTTATAAATTCACATGCGTTTTTTGAGAAATCGGAAAGAGTGAAAATTACTACTTCCGGTCAACGGAAATTACTCAAAATTTGACAGAAGTGAGAGAATTAGATCTTTTACTTACATGTGAAATTTCATTTATCTATCTAAAATAGTACTCAAGTTATAGGCTTTTGAAAAATTCATAGTAGAAAAAGTACCACTTCCGGTTATCGGAAATCGCTCAAAAGTTGATATGGATCTACGATTTTGATAAAATACTTATATATGAAATTTCATCAACCTAGCTGTAACGGTACTCAAGTTATCGTGTTTACAGACACACACACACACACAGACATACGGGCAAGATTGCAAAATTATGTTTTTCCATATCAGTGAGGTGTAAAACGTCGAGATTTGTAAAAAAAACTTGATTATTTTTTTTTGCATGATTACAAGACTTTCTCTATACTTCGTATATACAAGAAAGTAATAAAATAAACATTCCTAATTCCTAGGTAAATGGTATCATAGAGACAGCTCAGTACAGTGCAACATATATGAGTGTTTTTGAGTTATTGGAAGCATGTCAGTTAAGAGATAATCTTTGGGTTTCGTTAGATAACTGTACATAGCTAGCGCGAAACAAACAGCAATGTCATCAAGATTCGAGCATTTCACAGAGCTACGCAGATAGACGCTAGCTAGACACGAGGGTTTCTGTCCAACTTTTGCCTCCAGTTTTAAATATGACATCTTACCACCTGGTTTTAAACATGAGGGACAGGTTGGTCGTGGGATGACCTACCTAGAAAAGCAAAAGGTACCCCAGGACTACATAGCTAACTTATCAACCATACTTTACATACTTTCAACTTTGTTTTTAGATGTAGTATTCGAAAAAATCAATTACACTAACTTAACAAAAGCAACTCAATTAGCACCCGACTCAAAGGTCTTTAACTCAGAAAGTCTTCCTCCACCCTATACAATAGTTATTTGAGTGTGAGTGGGTAATAAGCAACTAAATATAGGCCTTTGTTTACAAGGGTATGTTTTATTCTTTAGCAAGATAAACTAATGGGATATGAAATAAATGAAGTCTATCAGTGTACACATTCAGCTTGTTACAATAGAATGAACACACTTGTAAGATGTTGTGTTTTTAACTAATAATTCTTATATTAATAAGATTTTGGATCCCGCACAGTCTACTTGGTGAATTTAATCAACCACTGTTCAATTAATAATTTCCACCTTTGGCTTATAATGCTTAAGACAGCTTAGATACATCTTTATTTTACATTTTAAACAGACCTAATGGCCTAATAATATAATACTAATATAACGGAATACGAAAGCAGAGAAAGGAAGTATCAATATCGCTAATACTTAGGCCTACAGGGTCTATATTGTTAGTCGGGTTTTACAGCTTGTGAATGTCTGAAGTAGAAAGTAAAAACATTTGTGAAAATAACATTAAAAATGTACCGACTCACACTAAATTCAAATTAAGTCTGAATTTTAGTTTTAAATCATTCTATGTATAACTTAATTTCAACTTTGTGTTGAGTTATCGTATGCCTAATTCAATCATTAGTAGCATGCAGTACAGGCTGCAACATGTTAGCTCAACTCATACAATTTTTACTATTTTAAAAAGGTTAATTTATTATCTTTGAATCTACTCATTTACTAGTTTAATTATTAACATTCTTTAAGAAAAAATTGTATAAAATTGTATGCCTAATTCAATCATTAGTAGCATGCAGTACAGGCTGCAACATATTAGCTCAACTCATACTATTTTTACTATTTTAAAAAGGTTAATTTATTATCTTTGAATCTACTCATTTACTAGTTTAATTATTAACATTCTTTAAGAAAAAATTGTATAAAATTCCTATAAAACGAAGGAACATGAAAATGGGGTATCGATACCGCTAATAGGGTACCTAGTTTGTGAGACATTTTGCATTGTCTGCTAAACGGATAAACCTAAAATAAATATGCTAGTTAGAAAGCTTAATAAAAAATGAAGATAATCCACTAAAAACAGTTTATTGTAAATGTCAAAACAGATCAATGTATATATGCGTGTATATATATATATATATATATATATATATATATATATATATATATATATATATATATATATATATATATATATATCTAAATACTAATAGTTTTGCTGTCTGTGTATGTATCTGTCTATCTATCTATCTATCTGACAAGAACGCTCTAGAGAAAACACAAGCAAAATAAAAACATGCATAGTTAAATGAAAATGAAACATGTCGTCACATTAGAGCATATAGTAGAAATTAGTCTACAGCCGGAGAGTGCACACAGTAATATGACGTCATTGATTCTCGAGTAAACATTGAATTAAAAAGCCAATGTTGTCTAATCTTTCAAGTGATTTGCGAGCAGAGTTAATTTCATGCAATTATTCAGGTAGTGGCTAAGCGCAACATCAGTGTTTCTTTCAGACTTTTTCCTCCCCAGAGGGGGGAACTTTTTCTAATGTAAAAAGTGTTTTGCGTGCACAGTTTCTTTCATGCATCTCTTCCGGCAGGTTCTTCCTTTAGTTTGTATGATTTACAAATGCGACCAGTGTTTCTTTCAGACTTTTTCCTCCCCGTAGTGGGTGTGGGTACTTGAAATTTTCGGGGTCGGGGGTGGAATTTTCTGGGAGGGGGCGGACACTGGAAAAAGTATATATATTTCGTTGAATGGGAGGGTAGATGTGTTTTGAGGTGTGTGTGGGGGGAGGGGGGACAAGTAGAGTCGCCTAAAAGAGATTCTAAATGCGACTTTTGTCATGATTGAGATTATTTGGGGTATCTTTTATTTATTTATTTATTCAATAACGGTAACATTAGTATCAATGTGCAGTAACTACGTAGAGATCAAGCTTATATCCTATTAAAGTACCGATTCTGGAAAAATCCGTTTCAATGTTATTTTTCGTTTCGGGTTAAATAGAATTAAGGTGGTGATTTTGGTTTTGGTTTTAGTTTGGAGAAAATAGACAGCACTGTCAACCTAGCGCCTGTTGTATCCTTCCTCAACGGTCCATTTTTCTCGTGTATATATATATATATATAATGCTGAAAAAAATTTGAACCCCCCATGAGACAATCCTGGCTACGCCACTGAACACAATTGTCAAGCTCTTTTATTGATTACCTAATTTTAGCAATAAAGTAATCCTAACGACCACAAAAATTAGGTTTAGCTACATTTTAAACCATTTCTAACTCTAAAAATAACAGTTTAATTATAGTCTTTGAATTTGGTCATGCATTGGTAATTCTTGGTGGTGATTGAGGCCCCAAACTTCTAAATGGGGGTAAGGCACTAGGAGGTTGCCTTTTATCAATAGAAAAATGCAAATCACAACTTCAGGCAGAATTCTAGCTTACTAGGTTTTTAAAATTTAAACGAATTTCTTAACAAAAGTTCATATGAAGGACATAAAATCATCATACATACTATTTATTCTCTAACAGTATCTTCTTGTTTTCAAGTTATTTAGTAAAAATTGCTCAACTACCCTGTATAATTCGAGAATAAAATTTTTTCCATAGCGAGCTATTGGTCCGTATAGCCCCATAATTTAGACAGGAGGTATGGATACACATTCAGGACTTCCAAGTTCAGCAAGTAAGAAAATTGCATTTGAAATTAAAATTAAAGTGATTTGTGATTGTACATGTTGTTAAGATATTTTTTTTCCTTATGTGCTTAAATTAGTTCTATTGACTCTATTTAGATGTATAAAAGAAATAAATTTTGGCTCAAAATATTAAGACTTCTTAATGTTTTTGTACTTTTTGCAGTTTGTTTATTATTTAAACATAAAATCACATTACAGGTGTTGTGAGCTTAGCAAACAATTTACTAGCTGAATTCAACATTCCAAGAATAATAGAAGAAATCAGTGATATTAGTGCCTCTCTGTTTGTTGTGCTGTATGAAAGTTTATTTAGTGATAAACTTCCAGGTAATTATATGTCTGCTATATTTACTAATTGTAAAATATTAATTTGCTGTTATACTATTTTATACATTAAACTTTTTTTAATCAACCAGGTATAATCCGTAATCCAACAACAAAGGAAGATAATATAAAAAATTGTCAAACTGTTATAGATGTTCTTTCTACTGATGTAGTCAAGGACAATCTAAGCCACATTCGTGGATCTGACATCGTCCAAGGTGATGTGACTGCAATTTCAAATCTCTTGGATATTTTTCAGTGCCTTCTTGAATATGTGATAAATAAAATTGAAACTGACTTTGATAACAATGGTAAGTCTGTTCCAGATTATTTAAACGACTAAAATGTTATTAAAAGAATAAAAGATAAATATAGTTGAGATCAGTGGCGTAGCGAGGTCGGGTGTCACCCACACTATATTTTGGATTTATATCGCCTTTTTCTGAAACATACTCGAAACATGCATTCACCTTACTCACCTTACATTTAACTGTTACAGTGGACAAACTTTCAAATGTTCCCCCTCAAACTTTCGATTTGCACCCCCCCCTCAAGTTTTTGATTTGCACCCCCCCCCCCGCCCCCCCGCCCTCTCAAACTTTTGATTTGCAAAAGTTTTTCTCTGTTTTACTATTTTTTGCCTTGGTGTCACCCCCTAAATGGTGTCACCCGGTGCGGTCTGCACCCCCGCCCCCCCCCCCCCCCCCCTCCTCGCTACGCCTCTGGTTGAGATTAACAAAATAACAAAACTCCTTGACCCAAATTTTTTAAAACTAACTTTACAATTACTATTATTATTACATGTCGAATAAATATATTCAAAACTAAAACATAGTTTGAGAAACTCCATTTTTAAAAAAAAGTTCCTTTTTTAGGTGGGTGGTTATACATGATTTAGAAGTAAGATACTGGTCTAGATTACTAATACTAATATTATCGCTGCACATTCTCTTTTTATGGGACGGCATGGCCAGGCAGAAGAGACTGCTAACCTGAGTTTCTCGAGTTCGAATCCAGTGGTACGTCCCTTTAGGGAAAGTAAAGGTATAGTGCTGACCACATTATGCCTCCATGTGCCGAGGTCAAGAAACATGAACTCTACTTCATCTGCCCAATTGGATTGTTATGGCTAAAGAGGAATCTTTTTACTCTTTATGTTCACTTTTGATTTTTAAATCAATGTTTCCGAATTCCAAAAAATGCTAACTATTTAAGTGCAGTGGGTCAAAATCTATGGCTTTCTTGAAGGAGATGGCATTGTGTTGCAAACAGACACTATATCTCAGAGTTACATCAGGGCCTCCTACTTTTATGTGACAATGCCTCAGTGGTGGATGTTATGCAATGGTCACCCACTGAGGTTAAGTGCATTTAGCGGTTGATCCTGAAAGAAAACACAGAACATCTACTCCTCACACTGGTAGACTTGAAAAGTCTATGCAATCATCCTAAATTTTTTTTTAAATCTTTAAAAATATATGGCAAATAATACAATTATAGTTACATTTTTTAAAACTTAAAGCTGTTTGGGAACTATCAATTGCACTCATTTTCAGATTTTTGTATTGAATATAAGCCATAGAAAATAATTTTAGATTTATTTTATCAATTCAAATATTTAAAAAAAACGCCCTCCACCTCTCCTTGATGTCATGTAAAAAACTAAATAAATGTTAAAAAACATTGATGTGTACTTCCAGACACAAGATCTGTTAACTCTGTGGAAGTGAGGACCCTGGCACAAAAAAACAGACAAGACACTCCACACAAAAATCTGCAGACTAAAAGTAAAAAAAAAAGCCATTCTCTTTCCAATAGGTAAACTCATTTTCTAAAAGTATTAAGACTGGATAATTTTCATGTGAAAACTCTTAAAATCTAAAGCTTTCTATCAAATTCTATTAAATCTTTCAATTTGTTGATTAATTGGGTAGATTTTTTTAGAGGGGGCTCAGAAATCCTAATGCTCAAGAGCATTGATCCATTTCAGGTAGAATGCTGTTGGTTTCCATTATGGTTGTTGTTTGTATTTATATATCCAGGGATGTGACTAATTTCATTTTCTGTTAAATTTTCTGCTAATTTTCAACTTCTGCAGATTTTTAAAGAATTTTTAAAAATTCAGAAAAAACCAGGATAAAGACCTCTACAGAAATGGCTGACATGTGAATGCCACACATTCCTATTTAAATTGAGTCTTACACTTGCTCTACCTATACTAGATCTAGGTCAAGATTTTATACACTATTTTTTAATTTTTCAGAATTTGTGAGTTTTCTGTTAGAAATTTCTGCTAATATTTTCATTCAAATATTTTCATAAATTTAAATCAGAAAAACAGATTGTATAATTTGGTCATTCTTTAAATGAAAAGTATATCTCCCGAGCTCAGTTTCTGTAGTATAGCTATAATTTATCTACATGTATTCACCCTCTATTTTTATAGCTACCCCCTCTACCATTTAATTCTGCTTCCCAAACTGATTTCAAAACTTATGTGAACTTAACGCGACATCTCGACAGTGTCTTGTTTGTGGGAGAAAAATGCAATACTGGCTATTATCATGGGGTGAGACTGCTTTAACTGCGATAAAACATTGAGTCTGGTCCTCTTTTTTTATGATTTGGTTACATCTCTGTATATTGATCTAGTAGATCAGCTGAGTGATGAGCTAATGTACTATCATCTTGTCTAGGAACTCTCATATCATATCAATTGGTGAAAATATTTTTTTATTATTTAGCATACTCTCATAAAGTAAATTCTTGTTTTAATTAAAAATCTTAATTTAACCTATTCCAAGGTTAAGGGGATATGCGCATTTTTTCCTCTATTTTTTACAATTTAATATCTAACCCTTTCAGGACCATAAGAATTGTGGGCATAATTTTAATTATCTAGGCACACATTTGGTAGTAAAATGACATGTAGATTCCAAAAATGTTAACGGTTTATTGATATCTTTAATAGTTTTTGAGATACTCAAGGGAAAATTATCGATAATAGGTGAAGATGCGACTTTATCAAAGTTTTTTATTTCAAAAGTTATCAAACGTTAACATAAAGTTTCAGAACATTAGAAATTGACAAATAACAGTTATGATAATGTATTTATGTCTTTTCTGTGTATATTGTCCTCTAGGAATGGAACTTGAGGAAGCAATTACGAGATGTTGTGTAGCATAAGTGACCATGGCAGACCTCACACCTATTGTCCGGTGTTTTCTATCTTGTCTCTTGCACATTGTGCACATCTCTGGCGTCGTTCTACTTTTACCAGGCTTGGCATTAATCTCTTGCTGCTTCTAACAGGTTCTGATGGGATACTCCTTTTCCTGCTTGTATAATTTCCAATAAGATCTCTTGCTCTTATTTGTTTGTATTCTAGTTGGGTTACCCCTTTGCAGCTAGGATTTTATTGTTGTCTCATTTGCGTATAAATGCTTTGAGCTTTGTTTACAGCTATATCCAACAAATCCAAAAATATTCGGAGGTAGTATTTCACGGTTGACTTCCGATCCACTTCATGTTATCTTCTTCTGATCCATAAGATCAACACAGCCCATAAAATTGTTGTAGGCAACGACATTTCAGGACACGGCACTTGAAGCTTCACGGAACTTTTGTTTTGCCTCCTGAACACACTTTTTGATTTGGTGGAGTGCAGAAAGTTTGACAGCATCAGAACTGACCTGTTGTCCATCCACTTGACACAAGTTAATCCATTTGCAGACAACATATGACTTTCTCCACGTTTCATGTCAATGTCTTTTTTAAAGATTTTTTGACATGTATTTCCTATTGGCACGCACAGTTCCTCAAATATAAATGTCATTTTCTAGTGCCTTTATTTGAAGCAATGGTGAATTGAAGAAGTTATCGATGTAAACCTCACAGCACAAATGCTCAAGTGGTTTAGTCAGTAAAACAACTCCCTCTCCCAATCCATATTCAGTTTCAGTTTTCTTCCCTGTGTACAAGTCAAACTGATACAAGTAACCGGTCTTTGAATCACATCTACACCACATCTTGAACCCCCATTTGATTGGTTTTTTTTTTTTTTATGTACTGCTTCATTATGTTGTGTCCTTTGAATTTGATCATATGTTCATCAATTGACTGTTGTTTGTTTGGGGCTGGTGCATTTTGAAAGCAACGATTGAAATGAGTAATCAGTGGCCGACCTTTGAAAGCTCTATCAAATTCTGGATCTGTTCGAGGAAGCATATCTTCATTGTTCGAAAAGTGTAGAGCATTTCTTATCACTTGAAATCTATATCTTGTCATCACATTAGCAACAAACGATACTTGTAGATCAAGTTCGGTAGACCAGTAGTCTTTCAATCTTGGAAGAACATGATATCCCATCACAAAATTCACTCCCAAAAATGCACATATTTCTTGTAAATCAGTTTGGAAAGGAATCCCCTTTTGTTTCATATACAATTCACTTTGGGCGACGATCAGATCTAACAAATTATCAAAATCACTAGAGTTTTTGAAAACTTGAAAAGCATTGGGTTCTTCTTTTCGATCAACATTTATTGTTATTTTTCCATAATCATAGTCAATAATTTTCATTTTAATATGAGTTTTTCTAGGCCCCCAGTCGAAAACAATATCTTTCTCCTGTCCCCTTTTTCCAACCTCACGTCGTTTGGTTGGTCTTGTTTGGTCTATTGATGATAAAGATGCACTATCAGCTTTCTCTGTCTGAGAGTGTTGTGCTAATACAGAAGATGAAACTGATGATATTTGCAAAACAGATTGACCAAAAGAAGGAGTAGGCATTATCACAGTTGTGACCTTCTGTGCAAATATTGGGACAGGAACAGGCCGTTCGATAATGACTTCCTCACCTGTTTTGTCAACATCTTCCTCCAGAAAATTAACATCTTCTTCATCGAGAAGCAAGCTGTTTTCATCGTCACTGTTGTCTGCAAACAGTATTTGTTCAATATTTTTTTCGATGATTGTAAACAAATGATCCGACGCCATCTTTATTCTACTGCGAAAACACGTGGTTAGTGCGAGCAATAAAAAAGTTAGCTCCCTTCCAGGCCGTAGGGATATATGTCCCAAGTTAAAAAATGAACTATTTTTCAAAAACGAGCAAAAATAATCTGAAAGTTAAATATTATTATAATTTCTCAATAGTATACCTTTAAAAAACCACCGACAATTTATCTATGTTGCGCTTATTTTTTTTTATATAAAAATTTAAAATGTAGTTTTACGAGTGGTCTAAAAAGTGAAAGTTTCCATAAATATTACAACAAACGTATCACATACATTATAAAGCCAACTAATTTTCTATGAAGGTTATCATGTAATAAATGTTTTAAAACAAATTCAACAGCTCTAAGTAGTTTCATTTAGTTATGGTGACAATTTGAAATGTTGGGACAAATGTGTCCCTTGGTCCTCAAGGGGCTAAAGCCTTTTGAATACTTTCATCATGTTTGGCACATTACAGTAAGTATTAAACAGAAAAATTCCCTCTTGACATAGTTGTACTTTCACATGAAGAACAGTTACTGAAAATATGGTGGGCATTGTTTAATAAATAAAAAAGTAGTAGGCTTTTTAGTGTTTAAAACCTGCAAACTGAGAAAAACAGCCAAAAGTAACGTAAAGTAGGTCACGAAAATACCATATCTGTGTAAACTGCAAAAACGATTTAAGCTTTGGGTGTTTCCAAGATGATGGAAATTACGATTATCAAATAAATGAGAAATCCAGCGTTCGAATGATGCCAAATACAATATGACGGATATAAAACTTTTCATTGGGAAAAATTGATTATTTTTTAATTAATAGGGTCATCAAAATGGTAATTTAAAGACATACACATTTTTTTTCTCTTTAAAGTAATTATTTTCTTAATACAAAAGTGGACAAAGTATCCAAATTAGGTAATTGATAAGAGTGTTTAAAACTAATAGAAACAACAAACAATTATATCATTAAAGCTATAGCATTAACACTTAAAGCGCGCACCACGTGGCCTTATGCGTTATAAGTTATGTAACAGCAAAGCCACGATCGTGGCTTGGCGTGCTTTCAGGGTTAAGCATTGTAAGTTAGCACATCGGACAGCCATCTTACTTTAAAGCGAAGCAGGCTTGTGCAGTGATGTCACTAAGTTTAATTTGACTTCTTATGGCTTCTTACACACTGTCCTTAAAAATAAGTAGATGCATTCATACTTGTTAACCGTTTAAAGAGCAGTTTTAAAAGTAAAAAACTGCAGTATAACCATTTATTAGTTCCTGATCAATTCAATGTTGAAGTTAATGCTCATTAAAGTTAAATTTAATCAAAATAGGCATGAAAAGTCCTTGTAATCTTACTAATTTTTAAATAAAATCTTTAAAAAAATATGGGAAGCGATAAAATTATAGTCTCTTTGGCTGACCCACTTTTTTTTTGCAATATTATCTTTTTCCCTTCTTAGCGTGTGTCCAATTCATCCCCATTTGCGGGCCTTGATATCTTTATCTATTGGCTGCTATTTTGTATTTTGCCACAGGTCTTTGATATTTTGTCTGGTCATCTTATTTTAAGTTTATTTCATAAGCATTTATTTGTAAACGACTGTAGCCAATTTGTATTTGCCTTTGTAACCCTCCAAATCTCCGAGCCATAGAGCAATACTGCCTTGACATTAGTATTGAAAATTATCTTTCTCTGGAGTGACAGGGCTGTGCACTTCCATATTGGGTGCCGTGAGTTGAAAGCATATCTTGATAGGACATTTTATATCCTCGTCTGCTCCCCCGTCCTTATTGATCATGCTTCCCAGATATGTGAATGTGCTTGTTCCTCGTATATCTCCTCCATTCAGCTGTATGGGCAGGTCCTGGTTGTTATTGATTCTGATTACCTCTGTTTTATTTTTATTGATTTTTAGTCCAACTTAGGAGGATTCTTCAGATAGCCGATTTAGTTTGGCTTGTGCATGTTGCTGCTTGTGAGATCAGATGTCATCAGTAAAATCGAGATCTTCCAGACTTTTGGTGGAACTCTACTGGATTACTGTGTCATTTTTTGTAGTGTGCAGCATGATCCAGTCGATTACCATCAAGAATATCATTGGCGATAGCATGCATTCCTGTCTCACTCCCTGTGAAATTATAGTTATATTTGTAAAATTTAAAGCTGTTTGGGCACCATTAGTTACACTCATTTTTGTATTGAATATAAGCTGTTTTGAATTATTTTATCAATACTGATATTTAAAAAAAACTGCCCTCAACCCCTCCTTGAAGTCAACCGAAAGACAGAATTGTTTTCTCTGATAAAATAGCCTAGCAATTTATTTATATAAAATAATATAACATCCCTTATCACCAAAACACCTTGACTCTACAAATCCAAATTAAAAATAAAATTGTTTGATAAATTACTAGTAATTATTTGTTTGAATATTTCTTCTAGCCTTAATAAAAACCGGAAGTCGTTTTGTACTTATTTTACAAATGTTATAAAATATTCAATTTTTGTCAAAAAATATGCTTTCTGGCAACAACCTTTTGGATCCAGCTTTTCAAGCCGGTTGTTAATAATAAGCTATTTGTATATCATCTATTTTAAAAAGGAAACTAAGCAGATAATTTATTTACAGAAGTTTAAGAAAATTGATATTAATTCATTCAAAAGTCTATTACTTTGTGGTTTCTCTTTATTTTTTTAATGATAATTCAAAGTTGACTTGTGTGAAAGATATGTATTAAAAGAGAAAATTTTCACTGTACATTATTGATTCAACGCCATTGTTTATCTCTTGCAGCAACAACCAGAATAGCAAAAGAGTCTATCCAAGATCAATGTTATTGGATTCATCAAGAGCAGCTAGCTTAAATAAAAATGGTATTTTGCATGTAAAATCATAATTTTTAATACTTTTGTATGTTAATTTCAAGTACCTAAGCCAATGTTGCTGCCAAATTGTGCTCTTTTAAAAAAATTATGCATTACGAATTTTTTATATACATGTTGAGTTTACACACTACAGCAATGAAATTAGGCAGAATAGATTAAATGTAGACATAATTATTATGTTCAGGGTTCATGGTCAAGTTAGACTTTCGGACCACAAAGTCGAATTAAGTTTCCAGGGCTATTTAAGTTTAGATTTTAAATTTAAACTTTGAACTGCATTACTGAAATCTCTGATGTTTATTTATATGCATGATATTTATTATAACACCACCTCCACACCCACACCCCCACCTTAACAAAGCATCTATGCTTTTTAAAATGGACCAAAAATATAAGTTAGTGCAAAGTCTGCTGTCGGCCTGAACAGTTCTGCCATGTTAATCTACACACTTTGTTCCACAGCTGGGTATTTGGTCATGTGATGTTAGCTGGTTGATCCAATTGGATTACACTATAAACTATTTCTATCAATAGATAATGACTAGGCAACTTTTACTGTTTATTTTTTCATAATTTTGTTCTAGGCCTTAGAAAAGGAATAATAAAATAGGTATAAATATTTACAGCTTAAGGTTAATCTTAAGAATTAATCTTCTTTTGAATGAATCCGAATGTTTGCTGTCTGATCAAACAATTTTGATGTGATATGCGTAACATAATTTCAGTATTTATTATTTAGTACTTGCAAAAAATCGAAATCAAGATTTGTCACAACTCTCGACCTTTTACACTCTGTGTGTATGTATACAAGATAACTTGAGTACCATTTTCATCTAGTATAATGAAATGTGATTTATAACTTTTTTTTATCATCATATACAAGATAACTTGAGTACCATTTTCAGTTAGGATAATGAAATGTGATTTATAACTTTTTTATCAAATTTGTAGTTTTCTATCAGCGATTTCTGGTAAACAGAAGTGGCACTTATTCTAATTAACATTTCTCAAAAGCCTATAATATGAGTACCATTTAAGTGGATGAAATTTCATACATAAGATCTTATTCACTGGATTCAAAAAATTTTGAGTGCGATGTTCTGATAAGTTTCTGGACTTTTATAAAAAGCCAAACTCCACTGGAACTTGTTAGGTCATTCACAGATAGTGGTTTTAATAATACAACTCACAATTACTTCAACTTCTTTGCCATTTAATGAAACAACTTAACAACTTGCAATGCGATGATAGGGGGAAAAAAGAATTATTATAGAACAAGGAGCAAATGCTTACAGTTGTTTTTGTCTTTGATTCCACCCATGTGCCATTAACTAAATCATTGAAGTATTTATGTGTGATGATTTGAATTTTAATGTTGTTAGTCTATCATATTACAATGGATTAATCAATGTATTTTCACTTAAAGATAACAGGAAAATATATGAAGACCACACAATTATTGCCCATGAAGACTATTTTGCCATGACCCAAAAAAGCATGAATTTATCAAAGTCTTTGTGCCCACCTTCACCAATCATACCTGATCCAACTTTGTCACTGTTAGAGCGTATGTATAATCATTATTGTTCTTGTAGATTATACCCTCAATAAGATATTATGAAGAATTAGAGATTGGGTAATTTGTTGATAGATACAAAAAATTAAATTTATAGTCAAGCCTGTTTTTTAAAATATCTCTTTATACTCTTATTTTAAGAATTTTTGCTGCTTTGCTAAGTCTGAAAATATAAATGTCTATCCAATGTTTATAATGAATTTGGTAACCAAGCAACATGCTGGGTAAAAAGCCAAAACAGGTTTATTTGTTAATATAACTTAATTTTATGGAAGTTACCCACTAATTTTAACTTTTTATAATAAAGAAAATTATTTTCTTTTGATAAGGTTTATTATCAAAAAGTCATAGATGTACCTTTTCCATTTTTGAAGGAAATCTACCAATCCATCTGAAGCTAATTTTCTGCTTAAAAAAAGATTTGTTTTATCTTTGAAAGAAGTATTAAAGCTTTTCCTCCATTTCTATTTCCTGAAATTAATTCCATTATTTTACTTACAGCTCATTTTTAACTGAAGTTACTTAATTTTTTTTTTTTAAATTGAAGTTACTAATGTTTTCATGCCTCTTTCCTGGATACTTTTACTACATGTGTCTCCACAACCAAATTTAGTAACAGGGTTGTCCATAGTTAATATCATCACAAAATTAATGTTTTTATGAAGTATCTAGCTAAATATACAAATTTTATTCTCATTCAAACAGGTTTCAGCTTTTCTTTAGAAAAAGTCTTTCTCAGTTTTAAGTATTACAATGTTAGTTTTATTTCACTTAGATTTATTAATTTTATTTCAGAAAAGGACATAGATCTTGATAGTGATGCAGAAAAGTTGCTGGAAAACAGTTTTGTGTTACAAAGAGCTCAACCAGATGTATGCCAATCACATAATGATAAATAAATAAAAGAACAAACATATCAAATATAATTTGCTTTAAAAAATTAAGTTTATTATTTTTATAATCCTTTTTTATTTTTAAATAATTACATTTTTTTTAAAACCCAGATAAACATGTAATATGCTAATTAAAAAAAAAATGCTAAAATCATGGAAACATAGGTAATCTTAGCTAGGACAAAGTACTAAGGTTTATAACTTTTACAGCCTGAAGATTTTATTGAAAGAATATTATAGGCACCATAGTTGAAGAGAAATGGTAACATGTATGTAAACACTTAAAAATGTACTTCTCTTTCTAAAATAAGAATGACATATTTTACACACACAACATGCAAACACACACAACATGCAAACACACACACAAAATTTTGAAAAGTAACATTATATTATAGATGACTTGGAGGAACAGCTTAAGTGCAGCAGACTGTCTACACCGTGAACCAATATTGGAAGAAAAACACGCTGGTTTGGAAACTAAGTCTTCATATGAAAATAATACAGAAGCTAATTTTCAAAAGAGTAAAAAGACTGAGCCTTGTACTGAAAGAATACCTAACGGTAGCAATCATTACATTTTTACCCATCATCTTTATCATCATTATGATAAACAACTTTCAGATCACCTCCCAGGTTAGAAAATTTTTATGATACAAATTCTTTGCTATCATTTTTCAACATTTGAAGTTCAACTATTATTACTATTGTTGGAATCTATTTCCCCCCATTAATATCCATGCAAAAATCCAAGCTAGTTTTTGTCTTTGTTTCCAGCCTTTTCCTCATCCTTACCATTAAGACGTGACATAACTGTTTCTAAAAAGCAAAATACGTCAACCATTGTGGGACCTATTAATCATCATAAATACGCCACTGTAGAAAATTCTGCTTTTGAAAAGTGAGTAGGACATTATTTAAATATTACAATGACATTTTATGCTAAAAAAAAGTGTGTTAAGGCAGTATAATTCTAACAATTATGAGCATTTATTTGTTTTTTGTAAATCTCTTTGAATGATATAGACCAGTTGAGATGAAAGATCTGTCCAGTACTTACAAGGATTTACAAAATATGGTTGAAAAAACAGCAGCAATGACAAGATTAGCTGTAAAATCTAACCCTCTGAGGTTCAGCAATGGTTCCAACACTATGTAAGTATTCAATAGGAGCAATTTAATCTTAACTGAACACATCTGTACCACCCATTAAGTCATAATTATGTTGTGGCTTGTAGGTTGTTGAAAACTTACCTCATTGCTTTGTTATTGAAACAAAAAAATAGGCAAAGTGAAGCAAAAATAACAACTATGGATTAGCAAAAGCAATGTTAGTGACCCCACATTTGACATCAAAATACAAAGTGCAGCAAAAGGGTTTAAAAGCAAAATATATTTTTATTTATATTTCAGAATAGTTATAATAGATCTGTTATAGTAAGCATATTTAGACATAACTTTGTGGCATTAAAATACAAAATTCACACAAACAGTGATTGTTTCCATGCTTCTATTTGCTGCTGTTGAAAGTATCAGTTTATCCCATTATCCGGAATCTCTTATTCATCGACACAAACACATCTATTGCTATATTTTGCTTTTTGTGTAGACCTTGAAACCTGAATTTTATTCACATGCTTCAAATGGTTTACTGAAACTAGATATCCTGTTCACATTCATAATCAAATAGTAGAGTTGTTTTGTAATGATTAAGAAAATGTATTACTCACATTCAGAAAGGATTATCAATTATCAGAGGAGATACATGAAAAAATTAACAAGAATCCATGCCAGAAAGATGTAAGTTGAATTTTATATTTATCAAGCAGCTATATATAAATGTCATTCACATTTTAAGAAATCTTTTTTTATTTGAACTTTGTTTGAAATTTAATTTTTTTTCTAAACACATACATTGTCTAAAAGTTAGTTACAAATTATTTAAAAAAAATAAACAGTTGTTTTTTGTTTTTTTTTTTAAATTTTTTTTGTTTGTTTGCTTGTTACAGAAGGATAAACATGTAGTGTTTGCTTCATCTAAGACACGGCTGCCTGATAGGTAATCCATTTATTGTGATGTTATTTTTGTACTTATATTCCCTACTATTTCATTACTCATCTGTCAACTACCCCCAGCCATCTCATTATTTACCCTGTTCCTAAAAACAAGAAAACATTACTCTGTAAATTACTTTCTCTCCCATACACACACAACTATTTCCATGTTTATTATCATTTCCTATTACTTATAATAAAATTAAATTTATATTATTTCCCAGCTTTTTACTTTTTGAAAACCATAATTATATAATTAGACGCAAAAGAAATTTGAAAAAGTTTTTTTTTTTAGTTTCCATTTAAAGTAACAATGTTAACAGTGAATAATACTCTGATTGAACCATGTCTCTTGTTTCATTTATTTATTTTTCTCTAACAAGTCTATTGCAGGATAGTTATTTTTGTTAAGCACTAACATTAATATGGTAAATAAAAAATTGTAGATACAGTGATGAACTAGAGACTGCACAATCAATGTGTACTAAAGTTCCAGACCTAAAAAGCAACATTCTTTTGGACTCCATTTTTAGGCAATTAGAAAATAGGAGGTATCTTTATAAATTTTGAAAGTTCTTAGATAAAAAACATGGACCATCTATTTTTTTCTATTACTTGTTAGTAAAGAACTTTTTAAAATTAAATCATTGCTCATAAAATAGTAAATATTTAATATTTTTTAAGGTGTGTATTTTTGTGTATGCTAGATTTGATTTTTTCAGAGTTTTAGGTTTCATAATTGTTTTATTATACAGAAAATATATCAGTAATAATTTGGTCTAAGTTTTTTCAATGTTGTGTTCAATAAAATGTAAATAGTTCACAATTTAATCACCAGTTTATATTTAAAGTGCAATACCATTAGTTATTTCAAACTGATGTATAAATATATCCTTCAATTTTATTAGTGATTTGTTTAATGTAATTTTTTCTCTTTATAGACAAATTCCTGAAGCCAGTAATGGTAAAGTGAAAAAAGTAACTGACAAACCAAATGGTAAAACCAAAAAACCAGCTAAGAGCTTAATTTGTAAGAGAAAATCAGCATTGGAGACAGTTAGGGTGTGTCTAAATGAAGAAGATCAAGCCATCAGAAAGAAACACAATGTAGGAGTCTAAATTAGGTTCCTGTTGTTTAGTATTCTTTAATAACCAGTATTTTTAAAAGTTTCTCATTGCAACTTTTTATATTTATAACTTGCAGGTTTTGCGCAAGTTTTATGAAAAAGATAATCAGGAATTTACTGATGATGTTGATTATGTAATTGGAAGAGATTTGCAAAATGCTCTTATAACAGTAAGTGAAATTTTTTACTAACAATGGATTGCCTATGAATATGTAGAATTTTTAAGATTCAAATTTTCTTGATAACCATAAAATCTGCAGCTTTTTTCTATTTTACTTTTGATTTTAAGGAGGAAGAATTTATTAAACAGTGTAAAGATAGGTTTACAAAAAAGAACAAGAAAAAGTCTAAAGGTTAGTTTTCAGACTAAAAATTGTGTACTAAACTATCATAGCTAATCCAATATTAATAATCTTATGATGCCATGGCATGACTCTGGCAGGAACTGTAAAAGTTAACAGATATTGGTGGGATTTTTAGTGAGGCCAAACTTGTAAAATTCATTATTGATATTTTAATTAAACCATTTTTTCCAATGCCAAATTCCATTGTGGCAATCCATCAATTTTCATATTAATAATTTAAAATCATCTTCTCTGAGGCTGACCCAGCTCTATAAAGCCCAACTTTTTGATATAAAAATGATTTTTAAGCTACAACTTCTCACTCCTGCATTATCCATGAAAATTAGTCAAACATATTTTTACACCCCTTACAAAAAACTTTAAAAAGTGCCCATTTAGAAACTTGAGCATCTATACCCACCATATTGCTTCATTTGAATGGAGGCATTTTGTGTGTCACTTCATAAAAAGTCATACAAAAAATACATTGTATAATACAAAAATCTAAATTACTTTGACAGGCACTCTTCCATCTTCTACATTCAAGAAGTCAAGAATTACTTTTAAAAGCAAACCAAGGCAAACTTATGGAAAAGAATCAACCTGTAAGATATGCTTAAGAATATGTTAACAGTTTACCAATAATTGGTTAGCTTAATTTTTATAACAGCATGAAATATAAATCTCTTGCTACAAAATGTTACAGTTAAGGTGATAATCTAGATCTGAAATAAGTTTTCACATTTAATTCTCATGCAAGGATTTAAAAATATAAATTAGTACATATCTAATAAAAGACTTCCCTCACTCCCATACACATTTAAACATTTTATATTTCTATAGACCTTTCACCCCTCCTGATAGTAAAAAAATGTGTCTGGAACATTACCCCTCTGTTATTAGCCCCATTGAAAATACCTGTTATTCATGAACTTTTGCAAAAGAGAACCCAGCATTTTATAAAATGACTAGGCATTCTTTAGAAATTGGCTGACATAATGCAAAATAAATTGTACTATCTCTGGGAATTCTATGAGATGTTTTTTGATCACAGCATATAGAGGAGGGGAAAGTGGTCATTTCTGTGGCAAGTGTCTTATACTTTCTTTACACAAGTCTATAGACATCCCATGGACTCTGCCTGGAATCTAAATCTGAGATTTTTCAGCTGGTAGTTATGGCTCTACTACACTGCCACACATCCCATATTTTATTATATCTAAACTTAACTATTTTCTTTTATGATAAAACAGTCTCATTGAAAGATGGGGAGGATATGGTTCCATTCCTGCTTGAAGAGTTTCCTCACCTAAATCTAAGTGAACATACTTGGCATGAACTTTGGAGGAAAGGCTTACAACAGATTGAAACTTTGACAAAAACCTATCAAGAAAGTCAACACAAGAAAAGTAGAGCACAAAATCAGGTGAATTCATGAGTTCATATTCACACCATTTAAACTTCTTCTAGCTGATAATCACCTGAAATTCAACCAACATGAAATACTACATTAAAAAGTATTTACATGAGAAAAGTTCTTTCCTTCTAATTTCTGGTTATTCCAAAAAGAGAGTACCTCTAAACATAACTCAATTTAGTTACATTTTACAGTTTGAAAAAACAATGTATACAGAAGTAAAACCCTTTTTCATGGTCATTAACGTGAAATAATCTTAAAAAAGAGTGTATTGAAGGTGTTAAAAGAAATCACTAAGGTGCATTATTTTAAAAGATATAGACTAACCTTCAACTTCACTTTGATTTTTCAGTTTTTGAATAATATTGCTTCAGAGATCTTTCTATTTCTTGCTAAAAGAAAAATATTAATCAGGACTTATTATTGTCTTAGTCAATCTGATCTTTCTTGTTTAATGCTTGCTCATGAAATATATTTCTCTGTAACCAATGTTTTCAGTTTCATTTTAATGTCATGATCATTTGCAAGTAATAAAAAACATTTTAAATTACATAATTTTTTTAACTTAATTTTTTTTATAGAATAATAATAACTATATCTTAGCAGTAAGCTGTTTTTAAAGCAAAATGTTCTCTAGTCATGACTTGACTTCTCGTTAATGATTTGCAGATTGAAAATGCATCTGCAAGACATCAACTTCTTGTAGATGCCTTGAGAAAGCAAATGGAGCATACTAAACGTTTGGTTAGTTCTGTTTATTATAGTTCTGTTGTATTCTTGCAACCATACTGTAATATTACATTATTAATTAGTTGATTTTTGCAAGGAAAAATTAGATTAATGTGAGAGGTGTAGAAGGAAATATCACATTAAAGTTATCTAATAAAAAAACTAATAAATTTAAGCGAGAAATCAGGGAACAGAAGAAGTTACAAGCTCAGATGAAAAATAGCATCCATGAAAAACGCATTCAATCAGCTAGAGCTCGCAGATATTACAATGAGTATCAAGTAAGAGCTAGAGCAAAGCAGTTGAAAAGAAGAACTAAAGAGGAAGTGGTTAGTGTTTTCTGTTTTTTACAAGCTTTTATTTAACTCACTTCCTAAGTTGTCAGTCTGTCTAGATCAAAACGTCCGAGTGAAACTGCAGGCACTTCTAACTGACAGATACGGTTCGTAGTTAGTATGTGGGTCAAGACATGATGACAATGCAACATGACATTCAATTTGACTTAATTTGTTGTCTAATTAATTTTTTATGAATTAATTAAAATTTTGTCCAAATTAGTAGGCTGTCTCATCAAACTGTTCCGCACTATTAGAAAGCGTCGTTACGTTGTTACATTCATTAGGTGCGCCATGATTTTTAGTCATGCAACGTTATTGCATTAAAAAATTTAAAGTGCGTAAAAAAAATTCATAAAAAATGTTTTAATAACAAGCTTTTATTTACTAATGCACTAAAAAGTAGAAAATAAATGAGTTTCTTTAAATATATTATATATTAATATAATACACTACTATTTATATAACTATAAAGAAAAGCGTGGGTCACTATATTATCTATTGGATACTTTTACTAATAGTAATATTTAGGAAGTGACCCAGGCTTTTCTTGAGCATAACTTGGAGATTGAGGGAGGGGGAGGTTTGGCATGCAAATCTGTCCCGCATGGTCCCTCTATGAAGAGAATTATATATATAGATTACAACCAATAATTATTTATTATTTATCATTTTATACTTATATATATTTATTATTAGTACCCCTCTATTAAATACATCCATATCTAATCTCCACTAGATGTAATTGAAGTATACATTAATAATGCCTAATAACTGGTACTAGTTATACCATGGGTTCCCAAACTGGGGTCGCGAAGGGCTTTCTGGGGGGTCGCCAACTATTAGACTAAACACTAGCAATGAAAAAAAAACAACAAATATTTAGAAGAATATCTGAAATTTGGCTTTACTAAATCACAGGAAATGAAATAGAGATAAACAATGCATACTGTGCAAAGTTGTTCTCGGTCATGAGTCTATAAAACCTTCAAAACTTAAACGTCATTTTGATATGAGTCATTCGGAACACATTAAAAAGATGTTCTTTCCTCTGCATGAAGGTAGTTGGAAACACAACATTATTGCAAGCATCAAATGAAGTCGCATTAGAAATTGCCAAGCAAAAACAACACAATTGGATAAAATCTCATCAACCCCTGCATGTTGAAGATGGTGCAATTAATTATTGGGGATTCCAGTGCAGTAAAGATGCATGCAACATATTTCTGTCTAATAATACTATTCAGTGGCTTATAGCAGAATTTATTTTGAATGAAATTAAGCTTTCACCATGGTTTGCTTTTCAAGTTGATGAACCAACTGAAATTAGTTCGTGTTCGCAGTTGCTTATCTTTGTGAAATATATTCATTCAGTTGATAGCAAAGAAGAGTTGCTATTTTGTGAACTTAATATGGAGAAAATAAATATGTTTTTTGAAATTGGATTATTAAATGGGAAAACGTCTGAGGGGTTTGTACGGATGGTGTGCCATCTATGTTTGGGTTAAAATTGGGCTTTCAGAAAACAGTAAAAGATTTAGCTCCCTAACCAAGGGAAATCTACTGCATGATTCACCGGTATGCCCTCGCCAGCAAGACTCTTCCGACTCCATTGCTTTTAAAAGTCGTAAATTATACTAAATCTGGAGCCCTAAACACTTGTCTGTTTCAAGAACTGTGCTAAGACATGAATAAAGATCACGAGACTTTTGCTTTTCTACACTGCAGTATGCTGGCTGTCAAAAGGAAAAATTGTGTGAATCAATTTTTTTAAATTGAAAGATGAAATCAAGTTGTTCTTGAAAGTGCGAGGGAAACAAGACCTTTTGATATACTTTATCGACATGGTGTTGTTGGAGAGAGTATCATACCTAGCAGATATATTCGAACATCAACATACAAAATGAAAGAATATTATCTCTTTTCAGAGCTGCAAAATTGGTGAATAAAAATAAATCTTGGAAATATTGCCTTGTTTGAGAAACTCTGCAGTGTGGTAAATGCATCTGATTGTGAGATAAATAAAAAAATTGAAACAGATTTCTGAAATAAGAAGAAACTGCCCTGACACGTAATCCATTCTCTGTGTCCCATGATGTCCCAACATTCCCGATGAATTACAAGATAAATTCTTATATTTGCTAAATTACTCAGCGTCAAATGAAAAATTGCTCACATTTTTGGTGTAGTATGCACCATTTATTAAAATTGATTGCCTTTCGAGTTTTATTTTTTTTTTGTGTCTACATATCTTTACAAGAATAGATTATCAACACTTTTCCAATAAAAAACAAACATAGAAATAAATTAAATGTTGAGAATGACATGAGATTGGCGTGTACAAAAACTAAACTGCGAATGTTGAGGCTAGTTAATAGCATGAAATTTTACTCATCACATTAAAACAGTTATCACAAATAATTCATTTTAAAAGTCTACAAGAAAATCTTTATTATTAATTAATTTCCTTATTAATTTTGACTTTTTAATTCGATGGGGGTCACGGGTCACTTACTTTTTTTAAAAGTGGGTCACCACTCGAAAAAGTTTGGGAACCACTGAATTATACATACATAACAATACATTACTTTATTAATATGTAAATGATATTTGAAAATGTAATTCACTAGTTAAATAAAGATGTTGCTCAATAAATTCCTATTTACCACACCGATATACTGCCTTTAGATCTAGATCTAGTATTCCTTTGCATAAATCCAGGTGTTTTCTTAAAACGTTAACACTAATTACAAGTTTGCTGTAAAGATTGGGTTACCTAGGAGGGAATTCTACAGACTACTGACAGCTAAGAAAAGATTAGTCTACCTTTATGTTCTGTTCTAGACTCAATACAGGTGCACATTTGAACTTTGAAGATAGGCTTAAAAATTACTTTATTAAAGATATATTTACACATGATGCATACTTTATTCACACTCAATCATTTGAACTTCAGGTTTTTAAGGAGCTGTTCAATGATGCCTTGAAAATTCAAAAGGAGAGACTCAAAGATATACGCCAGTATGCTAAAGATCAACGCCAACGACAGGAAGAGAACAGACAGAATGAAATAGATTCCATGGAAAATTTGTATCCTATATAATATCAGTCGTACTAGCATTCACTTGCAGTAATTATTAACTCAGAATCTATTACTCTCTCTTCTTTTAATTAATTAAAAACTAAGTCTGTTTACATTTAATTTGATGCAATTAATTAACAAAATAACTAGCGTAACATTTCTTCAGTACCATATTATTTTAGGATCTTAACTATCTCTGCATTTAAAATGTTTATATATATATATATATATATATATATATATATATATATATATATATATATATATATATATATATATATATATATATATATATATATATATACACAGTTATATTTTGATATAGATATAAGGGCTGAAGTTAAATAATTTTTTGTTCCAGTTGGACAAAGTCCATTTCAACTTTTAATATTAGACATTTGATTTATTCATATATTTTATGTGATTTACAATTAAATGGCTCCATAATCAGATAGAAGAATGGATAATTGCACCTTGGAAACCAAAGCACAAAGAGCCATATGTTGCCCATGGATCAGGCTCCCTCTCTCCACACTGTGTCACAGAAGCTACAGTAGGAAACCAGAATTGGTAATCCACTAGCGTATAGGCACTACCCCTATTTTATTTAGAAGCTTTCTTTCTTAGCTGGGCTGCTGTCCCAGCTATTGAGCCTCGTCTACCTGATGGTTAAAACCAGCAAATGGGGCACACCCTGAGAATAGATCAAAGGAACTTTGAGGGAAACAATCCTTGAGAAGGACTGTGGCAGGAGAAGAAAGGATTGCAGGGCTTTTGTGGGCTCAACTAAACAGCTGCTCAAAACAGAGTTAGGTGGAGAAGTGTGGCTACAGCTCTTTGCTCCTAAGGGCTCCAAAGGATTAAGTCAAATTAAGTCAAGTCATTGTATGTATTATAATCTATGTATCTACATAATTGTCACATATAAAGTATAGGGCCTTAACCCTAATTAGCTACCGTGACCAATTTGTTATGCTAGCTGAGAGACTGACTAATGAACAATTTGAAACAGGTGTAAGGGATACAGCACAACAAAGGGTAAGGTCATTGTTCATTTTTTAATACCAAGATACATACACGTGTGTATATAATTAGGTATATTTATGTATTATAATTTCTACAAAGACATAACTTTGAAAGCAAACAGATTTAATTTCCACTTGTGCATTGTATAACTACAATAATTTATTTGCTAATTCACATCCCATGATGAGACAGCATTCATCTTAATCCATTGAATATAGTGATAGGCCAATAAGTTTTGTCAATTCAAACCAAAAACAAAATTGAAAAACTAGGCTTTATTTTAAGTATTTACTGTTAACTTAAAAAAACCATTACAGATGATGGAGAGAATGAAGAAGGAATTGCGTCATAAAATGGAGGAAGAAATAAGGCTGTATCAAGATCAGATTTTTTATGATGATGAGGATGATGTACACTTTCGTCAAATTGATGCAAATAGAGTCAAACAGCAATTACACTTGGCAAGTTAATGCAAATTTTAGTGACTACCACATATGAGTTTAGACATAACCATTTATCAAGTGATTTTTTTTTTTCAGTATAAATGTATAGTTTTTTGGAAGTTTGTATGCCTTTTGCTAAGCTATGATTGATATTAAAGTTGAGTTTTGAAAGAAATATATGATGGAGTTTAGAAATTCGTTAATTTGTAGCAGGCATTAATATGAGAAATGAAAGTCATTGCTTAGCTCTTTTTGTTAATAATTTTTAGCACTTACATTACAATGACATAAATGATAATAATATGTTTTGTAATAGATAAAACTTCACATGTTTAGATTTTTTTATAACAAATTCAGCCACTTTTCTTATACTGGCTATCTGCCACAATATTTGTGATGTCTGTTCAAATATTTTAATTACTTTTTAATCTAATACCTAAAAAATCTATTATAATACAAGAAAGGTCCTACGCCATTTTGTTCCATCAACACCAGCTTTGACTCTTTGGTAGTACAGTTTTTAACCTCATTAGAATTACAAAATCTTTTCAAACTTGTTTCAAGATATATATATATATAAACAACAACTGATGAATACTTAAGAAAGAATCATTATACAATTTTTGAAAACATCATATTAATATGGCTTTACATTTTGCTATATTATAACTAATTATAGAGAATAAATTTACTCAACCGATCTCAAAACATCAATGTTAAGATTGAAAAATCATCTGAAACCTGCATGTACTACCATCTTAACATATTCAGGCAAACTTAAAGTTAACAGCTTTAAAAAAAAAAAGTTTATTTGTTATCATTTTACACAGTTAATTTTTGTGTGTGTAGAGAAATAGTACACTTACAAGTACAATTTTATTACAGGTGTATAACAGACTATAAATTATTAGTTGCTTAGGTAAAAATTTTCATTTAATGTTGAATAATGAGTTATGACTTATATATTAAAACTAATTCTATAAATAGAATTTGTTTTGTACTTTTGTTCCTGAAAACTACAATTTTACAATTCCAGTAAATAATGGGTTTCTATATCATTAACATGTGATCGGTCAGTTCTATGCTAGGCTGCCTCTAGTCTGGCAGCAATTATCGGAAATGGGCATTATATGTGCGCATGTGAATCCAGCTTTAGAAGCATTATATATACACAGCCCTGTGAATCAGGGGCGGACCAGAGGCGTAGCGACCCTTCGGCGCCCGGGGACAAACTTTCGATTTGCACCCTCCCCCTCGAACTTTTCATTTGCACCCCCCTCAAACTTTCGATTTGGCACCCCCTCCCCTCGCTACGCCTCTGGGGCGGACCCACAATCAAAGCTCATGAGGCCGCCGGACATTTAGTGTAGACGACGTCCTGGGGTGTTGGGAAATTGCGGGGCGCGAAAACCGTCGGTCACGTGACATATTTACCTCGCATTTTACCACAACCCGATACTTACGCAGGGTGGTGGTAGGATGCGAAGCTATCTGCGAAAATTTTACCGCGACCGATTTACAGTGATATTTGTTGATGCAGACTTCATCAAAGACGTTTCGTTTACACTGTCGCTAGACATTCTGATGATTTGCCAACTTCACCATATTTTGTGTCGACTTAAAATACCACCTTGTTCGAAACCGTCCGAAATACCACCGACGATAGATCAACTTATTTCTTTTGTGCAGAACATCTTGGCCGCCTGCCGCCACAATCATATATTTTATTGTTGCAAAGTAATTTTGCTTTATTAGGTAGCAGAACGAACCCCCGGTGTGGCCTCAACCAACCGGCGTGTTTATTACATTGAGTAAAATATAATCTCAAAACAATAATATATTTAACGAAGTGTCTACTCGGAATAAGATTTTTCGGCAAAAGATAGTTCTGCGCATGCGCAGTGACCTATGGCTAGGGTTAGGGCTAGAATGAGGGGTAGGGTTAGGGATAGGGTTAAGGATAGGATTAGGGTTGGTATTAGGGTTTATTTTCTTTAGCGATAATTATATTAACTACTAATGAGATTACACATTTTCTGTATAATTTATTTATATTACTATTTAAAAAAATGCGGTGGGAAAAATCAAGGTAGTGTCTTGTCACGATGTAGACTTAAACAACAAGTGAATTAAAGAGACCGAATAAATTGATCATTTACAGTGTAGTGAGTAGGTGAAAGAAGAAAAATTCATCCGCTTATCTCAACCCTATACTTCCGCCAGCATCTTCAGTAAGTGGTCATCCATACATGACGTCGCGCTTTTTTGGACGATTTTTACCTCACCCCCTCCCCTCCGTCACACATCGTCACACAAAGCCAGACCCCCCACCCTAAAATGACGACACATCTCAGCCTACAACCCCCTCAAAATAGCATTTGAATTTTTTTTTTAAACTCGATATTTTTCCAAAATCTGGCCTGAACTCAGACAAAATAGAGTATTTTAATCATTTCCTATTACAATTTATTAAAACAGTTTTCTAAAAAGCGAAATAACGTCAAATATTCGTTTTCTAACATTTTTACTTTCTCGTATATACGAAGTATAGAGAAAGTATTGTAATCATGCAAAAAAAAATCGAGATTTTTACAAATCTCGACGTTTTACACCTCACTGATACGGAAAAACATAATTTTGCAATCTTGTCCGTATGTCTGTGTGTGTGTGTGTCTGTGTGTCTGTCCGTGCGTAAACACGATTACTTGAGTACCGTTACAGTAGGTAGTCCAAACTGGCGAAAAAGTGCGTTTTAGGGTCAGTTTTTGCGGTTTACAAAAAAAAAATTTCACTACTTCTAGTTGTCCTATAAGAATAAAAATTATATGTCAATAAAGGTTAAGTCTTTATCTGTCGTAATCTGGTATTTTTATATCTGTAACACATGTCTGAATGTGTTTTATATTTGTTTGAAAAGTATCAGTTACGTCAACAAATTTCACCGTTTTGCGTGTACCGATCGATCCCACACTGTTTTATTTGGTCGCGGCTTCGCGACGAAGCATCGTAGAAGCATAATCTTAATGTCATTTTAAAGATCGAATTCTAGGCTATCATTTGATGTATAAATTGAAAAAATAACTTGTTTATTTCATTTAAAAAATACAGATTTTAAACTTTAAATGACGATATATACACGGAAACAAACTAATTCTGTTTCAATTTTTACACCGATGTAAAGTTCAGTTTTATAACTACTTTGTGTTGTAAATTCAAGTATTTCTGATTTACGGTCGCGAAGCCGTACCCCCAATAAACATATAACCCTCGAGTCGACTTTCAGCCCCGAGTAAGTTGCTCGCCGAACGGTTTTAAAGGTTGACGACCGATGATGCTAAACGGATTTTACCCTTGCTAGAGCCTTCAAACAAGTTGTAAGTATCATTTTTAAAGTTTCATTTCCATTTTAATAAATGAATTTTAAGTTTGAATATCAGTTTGGTTTAATTAGTACACGTTATTAATGTAAATTTGAACGCTTCAAGTCCACGGTTTTAGCGTGTGAATTACGCTTGTACACAGGGTGTGTTTAGACGTGAAGCTATTTAATTCAGGACATTCTAGGGACTTAAAATATGGATGCACTTAACTATTAGATGCTAGTGTTTACTAATTCTTTAAAATCTATTGACTGGGATCAATGATAGGGTCGTATTACTACAGTTTATCTGGACTATCACGTCAAAATTATGAATCGACAAATTCAAAATGGCCACCAGACTATCTTGGTTACTATGTGGACGAACTCAATTATTTACAGGGAACGAAGGTTAAATACTTATAAAATATTAATGAAACACAAAAGAAATGTATAATTATAATAACTATACATTTTTATCGATTTATTTAAAACAAAAGACACTAAATTTTAAGGACTAATGTGATTAATTTTTTTTTATTTTCTGTTGTGTGCTCTGATTCTGATTCCCCTGCTAAATAATGTGAAATGGTCTGCGCCAGTCTCCGTAATAAAATGTACCAGATCAATTTTTAGATGGTGGTGCAATTTATTAAGATTCTACATGTTGTGACTTAGTTTTAAATGTTATATTAGTTGTAAGTGTAAGTAGTACTAGTAGTATTTCTCATTATTTATTTATTTTATATGCATATAATAGTAACAATGAAGGACAGTTAAGTTGTCCTATAGGATGTTGAGAACCACAGTATGGCATCTTCATTATTGGATATCTCAACCAGTGTGGCACAAGCAACGAATGTTTCAAATTTCATTCAGTAGAATTACTCTTAAAAATATATATAAAGTATAAATTACTTTTAACAAAAAGGTGTTTTCAGGCTTTTTCATATGTTTCCAGTTATAGTCATAGGACAAATAGTAGGCCTACACAATAGGCTGGTAGTAAATTTAATTCTATTTTATTAATCACTAAATCAATTGTTTATTCCATAGCTGGAGACATTTACAGTGGCCTATCCAGAACTTTCCTTACAAGGGAAGGGAAGAAGGCCAAGACCCCACTCCCCCCTACAATTCCCAAAACATATTACTTACTCTTGATGCTCCACAAGATCAAGGTTGAGGGAAACAAGACGTACAAAGATGTAGAGTTGTAGTTTTAAAAACTGTTCCCCCAAAGCAGTTATCAACCGTATAGGTTTGAAAAGAAACCAAAGCATGTGGCATCAACTGCTGCATCACTTGTAGGCATCACGTCTTTATTAAACTACATTACATTACATTTACTCTACTAAATTTTGATTCTGTTTCTCCTGCACTAGATAACTGTGGTATTTTTTAAAATAATATTTTAACTCATGTGATTTTTGAAAATAATTAACACATTTTTCCACGTTGATGTTACCAACACAATAGTTTTAGAGTTATTCCAAAGCAAAAAAAAAAAAAAATTGAATTTTTTTTTAATGAAAATAAAAGTGACCAAAACGCATTTTTGTCATTTTCAATTATTTTTTTACCTTAGAAAGACTCATTTTAGATGACTGAAAAAAATTGGGCATATATATTACAAACTTTGCAGCAACTTTACCAATTTCTACACTTCTATGTTATTTAGTTTAAAAAATATGGGTTCTCAAAAATGGCACTTTTTGAAAATCAGTTTTTTACCAAATTTTGCTTTTTTAAAAATCGCATAACTTTTTTATTTATTGAGATATTTTTATAAAATTTGTGGCATAGACCTTACAATTAAAAGTTCTTTCATGACATACTCACTCCAGAAGTCTGCAATCAATAGTTAATTTCAGTTTGATGAAATTTCATATATAAGTATTATATCAAAATCGTAGATCCGTATCAACTTTTGAGCGATTTCCGACAACCGGAAGTGGTACTTTTTCTACTTTGAATTTTTCAAAAGCCTATAACTTGAGTGCTATTTCAGATAGATAAATGATATTTCACATGTAAGTAAAAGATCTAATTCTCTACCTTCTGTAAAATTTTGAGTAATTTACGTTGACTGGAAGTAGTACTTTACGCTACTTCCGATTTCTCAAAAAACTAATGTAAATTTTAGAAGTACTAATAATATTGCGCACTATTATGCGTTTTTTATTTAGCGTTCACTTGGTGTGCAATTAATTTGTCTACGAGATTTTATTCTATTTTTAAAACTTTAAGTATTTAAAATGGATTAAAAATCATTTCTATTGCCCGAGTTCCCATCCCCTGTTATTTTATATAAGAATAAAGAATATTCGAGAAAGTTTAGGGGAGATCACTCCCGGTTTATTTATAATGCAAAAGTGTGACGTCGCACTCATCACACACCGTCACACAATTACGGACCCCCTCCCCCCTACGAGTGTGACGCCATTTAGTTTATTTCTTTGCACTCTCCTTTATTTTTTATACATCATTGTTATTTATAAATACAATTTTCTTATTAAAAAACAACACGAAAAATAAATAAATAAAATAAACAACTGTGGGTGGCATTTTTGTAAGTGGAACGGATTAATAGCTTTGAGATACGAGCAATCTAACATGCAAGCAATTATACGGAACGTATTAAACTCGTATCTTGAGGTACCACTGTTTGTGATTCTGAATGAGCTACTACCATTTATTCAACACACAATTAAAAAGAATATAGATCTAGTACCAGTAGTTTCGAATTAATCTACGTATATTTGTTTTCGTTTTCACAACAAAAATATTATATTAGACTGGTATACAACTAAACGCTTTAAAATCGGCTTCGAGGTCTTCTGCTAGAGTTCTTCACATTCAAATATTTGGCGAGCAAAATAGTCGGGCTTAGTTGGCTGTTGTCTCGATTAAGTTATTTTAAATAATTTTTTCTTTACCCTGATCAATTTTTGAAGTTAGTTTGGTAGACTATAGATAAAGGTAAACATAGAGGACTTTTAGGAGCTTGCTTCTAAACTGTTATTGATTTAAAAAAAATATTTGTGTTCATCTAATGGAAACTTTGAAGCTTTAAAACATAAACATAGCTCTTAAAAGAAATGTTTTCTTCGATTTTGCCTATACAATCGAGAACGTAGTAAAACTTTACACTGCTAAATGTACTGTTAAAACGTCTGCTTAAAAAAAGGTACGCACTATGGTGAGGTAAAAAAAATTCCTCTTTGTGCGCAAAAAATTGACAGACAAAAACCAATCCCCCCCCCCCTCCCACCCCCAAAAAAGACACAAAAAATAACCTGCGGGAATTCCCGTTCCCGAATAAAAATGTCTTTTGTTACTTCACCTGTCTTTGATTAAAAATAATTAGAAGAAAACAGTACGTTTAGTGCATGGAATAAATAAAAGGCAGTATTAAAAATACCAACAACATTGCTCTTGATCAATCCCCGCTAATTATGTAATTATTTTTTTTCAATACCATATTTATCTTCTTGTAGTTTGGTGCAGGTGTGTATAAAAGAGCTTTCTGGTGCGATCGACAAAAATGAATTCCCATTCGTGCGCAAAAAAGGACAGACAAAACGAATGCGCAAAAAAAGACACAAATAATAACCTGCGGGAATTCCCGTTCCCGAATAAAGATGTCTTTTGTTACTTCACCTGTCTTTGATTAAAAATAATTAGAAGAAAACAGTACGTTTAGTGCATGGAATAAATAAAAGGCAGTATTAAAAATACCAACAACATTGCACTTAATCAATCCCCGCTAATTATGTAATTATTTTTTTCCCAACACCAAAACAAAGTAATATAAAGTAAATTCTTTTCTCCCCGATGGTGGTGTTTTAAAGGGAAGTAACTGTGTTTTCCCAATCAAGGGACGTAATGAGCGCTAAAGGACTAAATGCAAATACTTTTCAGACACAATTAGAAATTTTATAAACGTTGCTACATTTTAAAAAATGAATGTAATGTTCATATTGAAAATTATATATATCCAATATTGCAATTCTCACTTCACGAAAACGACAAAATCAATGGGACCCTCATATGGGTACCACCTACACTTAACAATGCTACACTCATACAAGCACTACGTCCTTATAGTAACAAAGAGCCATCCATAAATACAATCCCACACACTAATAATCGCAGCTTCTCTATCTACACCGATAATCCAACAACTATCCCACGCTACATCCAAATAAACTACAAAAACAAATCACTCACTATCCTCATCGCAATCGCCGGGAGAAGACAAGCGTGTCAAATATGTTCCTCCTCCCTACACTGGACGAACCATTGCCAACAAACGCCTTCAGACACACCACTGCAAGAAGACCCAACAGAACGTTCAACAACGCAAGCAACAACAGGGAATGCAAGCGCTCCATTGCTTGACACCGCAAGTTTCAAACTTAGCAACGGAGCAGCCAACACCAGCACACAACAGCAAAACGCCTTAAATCCCAATGACAAACCACCACAGACCCTTATGGAAACAGAAACAAAAGCCAAAAGTAAGAACGAAGACAGTCCAGCCACACTGCAAGAAAGAAAAACGAAACCGGCCAAAACAACTTTAGAAACAACTGCAACAAGTCCATCAAGCACTATAGAAACCCAGCCGCAACAAGAAACTACCACCGTATCAATTCAAATTTCCAAAACTATAACTCCTGGAAAAGACAAGAGCTGCGGTTATTGCTTTCACAGTTTCAGTACCGCCAGCGAGTGTAAAACTCATATAAAAACTTCCCATCATGAAACGAGTAAATGCCCGCATTGTAACAATCTGATCAAAAGCAGAGAAGCAATAAAGCACCGCATACTAAAACACCCAGACACCTCCGTCTTCCAGTGCGGATACTGCCTAACAAGTCTATACACCAAATACGACATAGAAAAACACCTCAACGACCAGCACCCCGACAACGACCTCTGCCACAATCAAATATTCTACATCCTCAACCCAGACAGATCCATTTCTTACATATATGCAGATGACAGAACATAAACAGACAGACAACTACAATAAAAAAAAGGAAGAGGACAACTCTTCAATTAGGACACGCTGTACTCACCCCATAAAAAAATCTATTTAAATTTGCCATCGTCATTTAGTTTTTGTTTTTAAATTAAAAGTTAAATAAATAAATAAATCGGGTTATAAAATTAATCTTGTTTTCGACTATTTATCCTTATGTCATACCTTTTCACCCACGTTTATTGGCAAAAGTTTCCAAACCAGCCTCTGGCCAGTTTTTGAACCAACATGCTTTAAACCCGATGTATTTTATATACTTATTTAGCTATTTATTTATTATACTCTGTACATCAATGTAACTACCTTGTAAATATCCACCCAAACGGAATGGGATGTTATTGTATTTGTTTTAAAATTGAAAATAAAAGCAAAAAAAAAATATATATATTAGATATATAGGTCTAATTTAAGGATGGTGCGCAAAATTGATAGTTCGTCCAGGGCACCGAAATAGATCGCTACACCATGTCTATAGTTTATATAATATAATCAAAGTTCTTAATTATTAGATCTAGGTACTTTTTACTTTCCCGTATGTACGAAAAATAGAGAAAGTCTTGTAATCGTGCAAAAAAAAATAAATATAAATTAAAAAAAAAATCTCCCTGAATTGGAAAAACATAATTTTGCAATCTTCTCTGTGTGTCGTGTGTGTGTATGAATGTGTGTGTGTGTCTGTAAACACGATAACTTGAGTACCATTACAGCTAGGTTGATGAAATTTCATATATAAGTATTATAACAAAATCGTAGATCCATATCAACTTCCAATAACGGGAAGTGGAACTTTTTCTACTTTCAATTTTGCAAAAGCCTATAACTTGAGTACTGTTTCAGATAGATAAATGCAATTTCACACGTAAGTAAAATATATAATTCTCTGCCTTCTGTCAAATTTTTAGTATTTTCCATTGACCAGTAGTAGTAATTTTCTCTATTTCCTATTTCTCAAAAACGGATGTAAATTTATAAAGTACTAATAATATTCCGCACTATTATACACATTTTGTTTTGCGTCCACTTGGTGTGCAATTCTTATTTCTACGAGATTCTATTCTATTTTAAAAAGTTTAAGTAATTATAAATGGATTAAAAATCATGTCTATTTCCCGAGTTGCCATCCCCTGTTGTTTTATATAAGAATATTTAGAAAATTTAGAGAGATAACTCCCGGTTTATTAATAATGGCGATTACACAGGTGGTTGATCGGGCAGTTTCCAATACATATTGGCCTTTACCACCCGGCTTCATAAATTCTCCATTGGTAGATCCATTCTTCCCCTGTTCCGAGCTGTCTGTAGTTCTCTTTGTCTGCGTTTTCGTAGCGAGTTGTTTTTTACGATATTAGTTTGTCGACCTTATACTCAACCAGTGGCGTAGCTAGGATTTTCGGGCCACTATGCAAAAATTATCATTGGGCCCCTTTATCAACCGTTAGGGTACAACGGAGTGAAACGAAGAAATCAACTGCTACTTCCGATGTAGGGTTTTAAATAATATGGATATTTAAAAAAATATAAATACATTTTGTATTTTATGCAACCTGATTGTTTATGTATACATATTCTTATGTAGGCCTACAACCCCGTAGTTTTGAAAAATGTTACATGCTTACAGTTAATTTGTTTTTGTTTTTCAAGTAACCAAGCACAGTAGGGTCACAAGACGGGGGCAGAGGTGGGTTCCGCATCGACTGACAAGATTAAGGCGTGACACCATAACGAAACATTGTAAAATTTTTAACAAACAAAAAACTGCTCGTGATTCATTTAGATCTGTTTCTTCTCATGCTTTTAATTTTGAAAAATAAATAATAAGTTCCATGAGATATATTTTAGCTACTTCTGTATGTTAGATACTTAGGATGGCTACGTTACTGACCCAATGGGCATATCTATTATTTGATAGCACTCCGTATCCTTAGTGAATGGCGCTCATTAAAACGAATATAGGCGCCGTAGAGCTCACGGGGGGAGCCCGGGTTACACGACCGCCAGGGCGCCGGCTGACGCACCTGTGCAAATTAGACCGCTGCGCCGGACTTTCAATAAACGGACCCTAGGTGCAAAGATAGCCGCTGGGAAACTCTGGGTGGCAAACAGCACCGCCTTACTCCTGGGGCGCCGCCATAAAAAAATAAAATTTAATGCTAGAAACTGTCCCAAATGTCAGAGTTTCTTTCAGGCACGTTTACAGAAAAATGTCTGGAAAAAAACACTACCTGGAGTATTCTCAACGACTTTCCAAAAATTTTCTTGGCAACTGGATTAAAACCAATGGGATTAGTATCGCCATATGAGCCCTGTTCGCCAACCCTCCCCCTCCCCACACACACTGAATGCCAATGCCTGTGCAGTATAGAGGGGACTAGGGGCCTTTTTGGAACTTGTAATTATTTCTACAGTAGAAAAGAAACTGGATTTTCTTTTTCTTTTTGACATTATTTACATAAAACCAGTATTAAAATTCCAAGTTTTAGTAGTTTTAAAGAGGATAAATGGCCCCTATATGCCTTGGGCCCCTATGCCTCGCTGTCGCTAGCTTTACGGTAGCTACGACTCTGTGCTCAACCCCCAACCTGGAGGACCGGGGTGCTAGCTTTCGTCTGACCACTACCCGCGCAGACCTTCCTAGATTGGTTGAACCTGCCAGGAGTTAATACTCCCGCTGCTATAGCTGTGGCGTTAATTAAACGGATGGTTAAATTAGAGAATATGGAAGAGGCTCTCACTCGGCGCGGACGCCAGGAAAGCGTGTTGTTCGGTGTACGTAAGAGCATTTTTATACACGGCCGTTTGTTTCATAAAGCTATTTGATAAAGCGTTTGCCTGTTGCGTTTGCATTTGTGTTTGGGTGATGCATTAGCGTTTGCGTTTGCATTAGTATTTTTTGCGTTTGCTTCCGTGTTTGCGTTTTCTATTGTGTTTGTGTTTGCGTTGTGTTGCTTTGTGTTTGTGTTTGCGCTTGTGTTTGCGTATTGCGTGTTTCGTTTGCTTAGCGTTTGTGTTTTCTTTTGTGTTTTTATTTGTGTTTGTGTTTGCGTTGTTTGAGTTTGTGTTTGCGTTGCATTTGTGTTTGCGTTTCCGTTTATGTTTTCTTTTGTGCTTATGTTTGGTTTTGTTCTGTTCACAAGTTGGTTCACTAAAAAAAAGATTCACCGTAGCTTTTTATGGATAGAAAAGTATCTCACTAAACATAACTCGTGAAATAAATATAACTGTCACAAAATCAGATATTAAAAAGAATTATGGAGAGGGAAAACAGAAAAGGAAATTTAAAAAGAACGCACACCAACCCGCACGACACTGTGACCTACTTAGGTCGAGTCAGGTTCTATTTTTATTTTGAACGTCGTGAGAGAGTGCCTGGTATGTTTTTGCAGCTTTCCCAGTAAGGACAGAGCTCAATAAAGCAGTAATGGAAGTTTCGGGCCATTCACATGTCTTCGCTAAACTCTCAAATGAGTTAAAGAAAACGACCAAATCTGTTTCATCAAACTTAGGAACTAATTTCCCAAATTTGGCAATCACTTGCCCTACCGACAACTTTTTTGGATCTACCGGAGAAGTGACATCACTAACTTGACCAAACTCTAATTCCAACCTCCTCTTATCTAAAGCAATTTTAGCCTCTAACTCCTTTTCTTTTAATGCCTTCTCTAAAGCAATTCTAGCTTCTAATTCTATCTTCTCTAGAGGTTTCTCCTCGCGGAGTAACACACCAGCCAACAAACTTTCATCAAATACCCCTTCATTAATAAAATGAACAACAATTTTATCTCTCAACACCTCTGACTTCTGCGTAACAGAATAATCCAATTTCAATTCCTTAACAACACTAATCAAAACTTTTCTACTCAACTTCTCGACCTCTTCAAAAGTAGGATTAGCCAAAAAAGACTCCATAACACTAACTTTCAAATCACAACAAGCCTAGGTTCACTAACTTAACACGGTGCGTTGAGCCGTGTACTTGACCTCTTCAATCTAGGACGACACGTCTGGCTATTGACCTAGATACCTCTATGCGTTAATCAGCGAACACAGTTGTGGCAAAACTCAAGGTTGAACTAGTTAAAATATTTAATGTATAAAATATCAAAACACAACTTACAAAATGTAGGAAAAACACTATCACAGATTTCTACACTGTCTAAAAAACTACAGGCCACACAACACTGCTATAACTTCTAGAATAACTCAGCGACGAGTAATATTATACTAGAAGCCTAAATCAACTTAAGAAAGCAAGGCACACACAGGACTTAAGTTCTCTCACGTTCAAATGGTCAGAGTCTATAGCCGGACAATATGGACGGCTGCCTGACCAAGGTAAAATCGCCCTGTAGACTGCCTGTAGACTGCCTGCGACAAGTCTCAAATGGAGACTCACAGATCACTCAAGGCCACCTGAGCTACTGTTAACGTGCTGGTTAGTTTGGTCAAGACTGCCATTTTGAAGGCCTACGCACTGACGCCCGAGGCCTATCGGACAAAATTCCGAACACTCCGCAAGTCACCCACTCAATCATATGTGGAATTTCTCTTTGAAAAGGAGAAAATATTCTCAAGGTGGCTACACTCTGAAGAAGTTTCTGAGTTTGAGAAACTCAGGTCTCTTATCCTAAGGGAAGAATTCCTATCGTCCCTGCCTGAAGAGATACGACTACACATACTGGATAACAAGATAACTGACATCCAGAAGGCTGCTGAGTCGGCTGACACATATATGTTGGTGCATAAGAAACCACCAGTGTCAGGAAACCGCCTCAACCCCGTGCTTCCCCTTTTTGGCAGCAATCCTCCTGTTGGCCAACACTTGAAGGCATCACAGTCCAGAGAGAACCCAAGATCAACTCTCAATCGTCGAGCAGTATGCCAGTTCTGCAAAAGACCTGGTCATCTTGTCAAGGACTGTTACAAACGTCGTCAATATAACAGAGAGGTGGTGCGTACTTCCGCGCACTATG